AATGTAAAAAACTTATAGAATATTAGAAAATCAAATAAAAATAATTTTGAATATTCTTTATCCGTGATATTGTTTATTTTGTTCTTGAATTTTTCATTCGAGAAATAGAAATTTCGAATAAATATCAATAAATTCTCAAAAATGATTTTATTCATACGAAATTTTGAGAATAATTTGAATTTCAAATTAATCATAATTTCAATATATATTAATAAGAAAATGAAATATATATTATATAAATATCTTAGCTATCTCATCATCTATATAATATTTATATAAATAATTATATAAATCTGTATATATGAAAATATTATAATAATATTCTTAATCGAAAATAGAATATAATATTTCATTTATATTATTTATATATATATGAGAATATATTTATTATTATTGATTTTATGAAATGCCTTCTGTATATTCGCGTATCGAATATCGAAATATCTTTTCGTAATATTCTTTCTATGATTGTTTTCGAAATCTTCGTTAGAATCATCTTTTTTATTTCATATTTTAAAAATAATCCCAAGGGACCCCGAATCTTGATTTTTAGAATTATATAATTTCGAAATATAATCAAATAGGCCATATTTTCGATCTTTATAAAGCCCGAATAATATTCTTTAATCTTGAATCTATATGCCTATAAATCATAAATATTCCATCAAGCCCACCACCCCACGCCGCATCGCAAGAAGGTGAGATTAAATAATCTCAAAATCCGCCTTCGCCCCAGGACAGGGCGGGGCGATTAAATAAAATCCCAAACCTACGACCGCGCCCACAAGCCCCATGCTTCAGGTTATTTGCTTGCAGCACCCGCCACAGGTCCGGTTCCGAAATGCAAACCGCCGCGTGCGCGGTTGATGTTTGCAACAGCAGCCTGCATGCGTGCAAAGAGCATGACGCGCAGCAGGGAAGACAGCAAGATCTGAGGCTTCAGTGGCGGACCCCAGCCACCTAGAGGCATGATGGGATGGACACTTTTGTTCGCGATGCCATATCCCAAAACGTGCCGCTTGTTCCTCGAAGACAGAAATAACTTCAGTATAACAAGGCCAGCCAGAAAACGCAGAACCAAATATCCACGAGTGCAAGTTTCCCGCTCAGGCCTCGAATCAGTGCGCACAGTGCAAATGAAACGATTCTGTACACGAAGTCGTAGTGACGCAGAAAGGCACTGTGCCTGCGGCACAAGGCATTAGACATCATTTGCACAAGCTGCAATAAGCTGCCTTTGTGCAGCTCACGCACCTCATGAGCTCATGCAAACAGGATACCCTAAGGTCGGGTAAACTCCGCTAAGCTGGTTTTCAGCCTAGCAAGACTACGGGTCGAATTCTCACTGGATGCAGAGCAGGCAGTGCATAGGCTTGCATGTAGTTGAACACCTGCTCAAGCATCAGAAGCACAACCCATCACCATTCTGGCAGCATCCCTCCTCATGGTTGGCAACGCTTTGTTCTGCCAATTGTGTTTGAAACTGAAGTGCTCCGGCAAGATCCTGGCCTGCATTTCATCATGCTCAACGTCAACTACACAGCAGCACGGTCGCAAGAGTCTTCTTGCAAGACAAATGGCATGTCTCAAATCATGGCGACATGTCTTCACCGAAAAGTAGCTTGTAGTCCTGCCAGCCCAGCCCAGGTTCATGGAAAGAGCCAGCCTAAACATTGTGAAGCCGACACCGCAAAACGTACAACGGTCCTCCATGCTTTCCAGAGTGTGCTTTGGCCTGATTTGACACAAGGGGGTGCCCCTTTACAGCCGGTACACACACAGGGTCGAAATGTGCTGTCTGAGGCTTGTGCAGGAACTTCTTGAGCTCTTGTCCGTGCTCACGAAGCAGCCTCGGAAGTGAACACTACATTCAGAGTGCGATTGTCATGCAAGCTCTACATGAGCGCCTCCTGCGCTCATCCTCGATGATCAGGCGGCGCTTGTCCTCATCCTTGCGAAGCGCGTCTTGCTCTTCGCGCTCTTGAGCTCGGGCAAGTTCATACCTGACAGAGCTACCGGTAACTAGCTGTGACCTCTGGACTTTGCGCCTGCAAGGACTTCAGCTAAACGCGGATGGAGCACATTTCGCGGCGAAGTTCCACCAGCCGCTCTGCCTCCCGCCTGTGTTGCTCGACCTGGCAAGAGCACAGCAAGCATTTGCAAGCACTACCATCTTATCAAAGTCTTCTTGGAGACTCTGGCGAAAACATGACCCGCGTCAGCCAGGCACTGCCACAAGCTACATTCAACAGTTCTCCTATCACAGTTTGTGCATCGGAAGCTATTGCTGCCTTCATGCGGCGCTTTTGCTCATTGAGCTGCTCCAAGCGATCGTCTTCAGCAAATTTCTTGAGCAGCTCTTCACGCATCCTGCCCTGGGAGCAGCTGCAGGAAGAACAACGCATCCCTTGAGGGGTGAGGGTGAATGTGGCGAGTGCCTCCTCCTCACGAGCATGCAACATCTTCTCCTCTTTTGCCCGCATCTGGACGAGATAGGCATTCTTCATCTCCTGCGTGCTCGGAAGGCTGTAGAGAACAAGAGGTCGTGTCATCACAGATGTGAGACGCAAAATTATGTGACAGCAACGTTTACCTCTTTGTCTTCCAACTTCTTCCGCATCCTGAAAGCGAAATCCAGCACCCAAAGCACCCCAGCAGCATATGCCTAGCAATTGCCAGATGATGCTTAAAGGCAGGTCTGATGCAGAGTTCATCGAGTCTGAGATGGCTCCCTGCCGAAAGCTAGGACAGCTTCGGCCGAATTGCTGCATCTCTTCACGTCTGCGCGACTCGGCTTCAAGTTCTTCCAAATGCAAGTCGTTCCGCAACAGCTCCAGCTCCTGGAAGAAGCACCGCACACGGTGAACCCTGGTCAGGAACCAGTCTGGCTGCAACCGCAATCCGACAGTGGCTGCTCCTCTGCCGCTTTGTTGTTGGCCTGAACGACAGGATGACCCCCACACTGCGCACAAGTTTTCCAGCACCTGCCGCTTCACCAAGGTGTGCCTCCATCTGGCCGAGCATCGCATTTAGAATGCGGAGCTTCTCCTGCATTCTTCAGTTGGCAGTATTGACAAGCGGCAAAGTTCTCAGCAAACCAGTGACGCACAGAAACCGATCAATGACTGCGTCAATTCTGGCCACACGCTGAGAAGGGTCCTTCTCTTTCTCCTGCCGCTCTTGCTCCAGTCGTTCCTGCACAGTTAAGTGCACTTTAGGCTTACCACGCATTCTTTGTGCCAACGATCCATACAAAAAGCTGGCAAAACGGCCTCCCGTTCGCGCTTGTCCCGCGCAAACTGCTCAATGCGCTCATTTTCTGCCTTCTCCTCTGCCTCCAACTTCTCCTGGTTTGCCTTCCTCGCCAAGCAGGGTCTGTCGAGTGCACGATGCAGAAATCAAGCATCTCATTCTTGTGCGCGATTTGCGGTCTAGGGCACTGCTCCACCATGAACTGCTGCAGCATGACACGTGACCTGGCAACGTCCAAACGCATCCAAAAGCCGTCGCTTATTGTAACTATGGTCGAAACCTGATCATCCAACTCTGTGCAGATCAAGCTGCTCCATCTGTTTCTCCGCTCGAGCGTTCGCCTCCTTCGCATCTTCGTCTGCAATTTTAGCCACCAGCTCTTCTACCTGATTGCGCTCCTTCAGGCGAAAAGTTTATCTCGTGCTTGCTTCACAAGAACATCGGAATCTGTTCCGGTTCCACATGGCGCTTCATCTCCTTGATGTATTCTTGCATGGCCTCCTCTCTTTGTGCCTCAACAAACTCCCATACAATTTTCAATATCAGAACACGAATCAGGATGCTCGCGGCCTCTTTCATTGCAATCTGCTGCTGGTTGATCACCTTGACGCGCTCTCGCTGCCTCTTCTTCTCGATGTCCAGCTTGTGCTCCAGCTCCTAGTCGCTTGCGCCGTCACGAGCCCTGCTAGCCCAGTGCATCGGCAGCTTGCGTGACCAGTCCTGCTGCTCCAACCTCTCATTTTCCATATGTTCGGCCAGCAAGTGGCCCGTTATGCGGTCCTTTTCCTTCCGCACCTGAAACGTAGAGCCCACAACCATCGAACCCCGGAACGAATCTGCACATTTGGCCTCGATTTCCAGGAGCTGCTGAGCACGCTCCTGAAAAGCGGGAAGGCTCGCAAAAAAAACGCTTCCTTCCAAAAACCGCGCAGCTCTGCCTTGTTGACCTTGGCCATATGGAGCCTTTCCTTCAGCACCCGCAGCTCTTCGGAGCCGTCACAGATTCGTCGACGATCCATACTTGGAAAAATGGGCGCCACGTTTGGAACAAACGCTCCGCAGCAAACAGAAAAAACCTCTGGTGCGGCTTTGCGTCTCGTGGCGCATTTGCTCGGCTTTCCTTTTGGCCAGTTCGTCTGCCAACCTCAGGGCTGCATCGGGCTCTGCACCGTCGCCTGGCGCAAATAGTTTAACTTAGTCCGAAGTATGGTCGAGCAGCTGCTCTTCGAATTGCGCTATCTGGACTCTTTTCGTCTTGTCCTGCTCCGTCTTCACAAAACCTCGGATGCAGGAGGTTTGAAAAAGGCCTTGGGCACGGAGCTTTGATGAGCTTTGCACATGTCAAGTCTGGCCAAGGCTCTATAATCCATGTAAAGCTCACGGCGTTCATTGGCCTCTGAGAGTGCTCTGCGCTTCTTTTCGACGTTGAGCTCGCTTTTGCCATAGCCTGCCCGAGAAAGCGACTACATCATGATACTGGCAGGCCGCAGACTCCAATACCTGCATAGATGTTGTTCTCCATCAAGCGTCGGCGGAGCTCTTGATCCTTTGCCTCTTGCTCACGCCTGGTCTTCACCGTGCCAAAGAAGTAAAGTTTAGACGAGCTGTAGCTCAGAAAGCATCTTGCCGACAGTGTCTCAATGAATGCCGACACCGCCTTTTGACGATGCGCTGCTCGACGAAGCGCTTGGTGCTCGACATGGCTGCGCAAGCACAACTAACACTACCGAGCTCAAGGTCAGCCCCTGTGTCCAAATCTCGGCGATCCTTGCCTTTGCAATTACAACTAGTTCAGTATTGTTGGCCAAACCTTGAGCCACCTACTTGCCAAGAATGAAGCCTCTTGGTCAATCTTGCAAGAAGCATCGCTTCCAGTGGCAGTCCAAGCGCAGATGCCAGCAACCAGAGCTCGGAATGTGCTCCGCGCAACTGACAGGGGTACTCAGCACCAATTTCAAGCTGACGAGAAAACAAATCTCGCTCAGTACACTAGCACTCGAGTGACCTTGAAAATTGAGCAGAACCACGCACCACGCACCACCACTACCACCACCACCACCACTGCCCATCATGATCAACAAAGCCGCCATCGTCGTTGTCATGGTTATCATGGTCGTAAGAATGCTTATGCCCAAACAAGTGTCAAGAAGCCTTGCACAACAAATCACCATTCCCGACATCGTAAAGCTTGTTCGGATGGTGGCAACTGTCTACACACCACGCCACAAGCATTGGCGCTGCGCACAAAGGAAATACAGCACAGAAACCGTACTGCTAGAAATTCAATAGATAAAGCAGGTGTATACACCACTTCCGTGCAGCTGCATGGCTTCGGCAAGCTCAGTGGGTCAACACAAAGAGAACCGAAATATCCAGATTAATCTTCAAAAGTACATTGAAACCACTTCCATGCATTCCTGCCAAGATGACACAAGAAGACCTCAGACTCAGACTTCTTAGCCAACCAGCGGAACTCAAGCCACTAGTAGCTTCTTTTCCTGCAGCGGCACTTCACGAACTAAAGCCGTTCCACTACCTGGTCTTCGACGGACACCCCCACTGCATAGGACCAGTGCAAAGACCTTCCTGGATACAATGGACCGTCGCGACGTATTCCCCAAGGCATCTGGTCGTCTTCTAATGATGAGGAGTTCAAGCCTTCCGCTAGATGCAACGAATCTGCTATGATCTTGCGGTCATTGCAAAGCCATGTTCGGATTGCTCCCTCCTGGTCCGCCGCATCACAACCATCATCGTAGCTGCTTCCAAACACAAGGCTTGCCTGTGCCAGCTGCAGATTCGGCTGATTTCGGTTCAGCAATGTGGCGAGCTTTATGGCGTCAGCACGGTCTGCCACAACATGAACTTCCAGCGGAGCCTTCCAATCCAGCTCGAGGCAACTCCTCTGTTGCTTCACCGCTTCCAAGATATCTTCAAGAATCTGCATGGGCGGCTCCCCTCGAGGACTGGCGGAAGTGAGAATCAGTTTGTCGCACGCTGCAAGGGCCCAGCCAAACTTGGCCCTGTCACCCCGAGACACTTCGCCGTCACAGCCGAACACAGCAGTCAGCTGAGTCTGCATGTTGGGGGCATGAGCCATGGAAGACCTTGTGACCTGCAACGCTTGTTCAACATCGAGAGGCGACGCAGCTTCATGCAGAAGGACTGCACTATCATGCATGTCTTCGGAAGAAAAAATCTCGAAGGTTCCTGGAGGCGGGTTGATTGCTTCAAGCCTTGCGGCCAAGCCTTGAATATCTGTCAGCGGGTCATCACACCGCAAGATCGCACCAGCAGCACAAAGAGCAGCCACAGCTGCTGGGCTGGAGTCTTTTAGCAGCGGCAAATTCAAGCCAAGTTCCAGGCCCCACCCAGTGAGTTCTACGTGACATTGCCTCATGGAGGGGGTGGGCATGGTTCGACCACAGAGGCAGTTTAAAGAAGCCGGCGAAAGAGGTGCCGAGGAAGTGGTTTCGACAGCATCGCCTGAGGGGAGAAGCTCCTCCAACATTTTGACAAGCTCTGCCTTCTTGGCACCTGCTGGGATGTCGTCGACTCCGAGATCCTTAAGTTTCTCAACGATTTGGGCCTTGGTCGGCGTCGTCTTCACACCTTCAAAAGACGAGACTTCTACACTGTAGGTTGCTAAAGAACTTCCAGCCCGCAAGCTGTCTGCACATTCGTGCGGACCCACTACTACTGCCTTTGAAGTTTGAAGACATCTCTGTCGAAGCACTTCTGCGGCTGGAGCATCTCGTGTCTGCCCCAAGTCCACCAGCACATCGAAGTCGACTTCTTGGAAAGCAGAGGCACCCGGCGGAATTTCAACGACGCAAGCTCCGACTCCTGCGCCCGACATCTCTGCTAGGAGCTCCTGTATTGCACAACAAGTGAGTGAATCTCCAACATCTTTGCTCTGAAACGCGATCATGCAGCGGCGGTCGCTTAACAATCCAGTTTTTGCCGGGCCCTTGGCTGACTCCAGCAGCTTGAAGAGAAGCCATGCAGTGGTCCTCACGTCGTACTCTTGGCCACCGATCACCCCAATTAGTTGCATCGGAGCCCGAGCGCGGCTACTTGCGTAAAAGGCTTCAGCCAAGCGATGCGCGGGAGACGGCAGTCCAGAAGACAGAAGAACTACTGCCTGTAAACCTTTGTCAGAGAAGCGCGAAAAAAGTTTACCAGCTTCTTCTCGGGACATATCAGACTCGGCCAGCAAACCAATGGCAGACATCCCCTGCTCAAAAAGTTGCTCTAGGAGGACGCCGTCATGAGCAGCTGCACTGGAGGTCAACAGCAGAAAGTCGCCCTTGGTTGCACGTTGGGCCACATCGACCACTCCAGTAATGGAAACGCCTCCTTCACCAAAGAGTGGAGCAGATGAGTAGTCACACATCTCCAGCAGTTCTGCTAAAGGCATCGAAATCGGTGCGGAAGCAGTCGAAATCGTAGTGGAAGGGATGTTCGAGTGGAACAAAGCTTCGCTTTTGCCCAGCGAGGCCCCGCTACGAGAAATCTCTGAAATTGCGGCTGCCACAGGCACGCGTGCACTCTGAGCATTCTCACTCTCATCGTTGCAAGGCAAAGGCAAAGCAAGAAGCTTCTCATCCTCACTCGTCCTCTGATCCAACTGATGGGCAATGTTTTCGGGCACCTTCAATATCTGAGGCTCGTCACAGTGCAAATCCTCAAAGAGGTTCAACAAGACCAAGTTCTCAGCCTCAGGATTATCATGACTCTCCTCCAAAATGCTAGCCACCAGAGCATTGGTCCCTGTGTTGCCCTTTAGAAGCAAACTGCCTTCTGCCAGCTGGGTTGAATCTGCAAGTGTCTCCAGATCATTCAGGGCGGAAAGTCCGCTTTTGGTGGATTTTGGTGGGAAGCTAGTCCCAGCAGCCTGGCCACGAATACGATCGAGGCTGCGAATCTGCGACTCAATGTTTTCTATATCTGCTGTGAAGTCAGCAGGATTTGGGGACTCTTCCCTTGGCATCTCAGCAGTCTCAGACAGCTTTCGACTCAACGGCCTCAAATGCAATCTGCAGCCTCGCCGTCGGTGAAGAAACACAACAGCCCCAAGGCCACCGATTGCACGGAAGCATGGGACACGGCTTAACTCGCTGCCGGTCGCAGTGTACGCGCCGTTTCCTATTGACACTTTCGGCCACTGACGCAGGGGATGCAGGGGGCTCCAACCTCTCCTCCATTGGATTCGAATCTCGGCCATGGCGACGAGCTAAGGCTAAGGAAGGGGTGGCCACGGCATCTCTCAGTCACCATCCTGCCAAGGTTTTCTCCTGGTGTCTTTACAAGTCACATTCCTTCGGCTTGATACTGAGCATAAGTAGCATAAGCAACGGCTAAGAGAATATTCATGCTTCCATGGAATAGACTGCTAACTGCTGCAGCCAGCATGCACCGGCCTGTTCTGTGATCTCCTTCAGCAAATGTCTGTAAAATCTTGATTCTCTGCCATTCCTTGTCCAATCTCTTCATTTCTTGTCTAGGACCATTGAAATCAGCAATTTTTCCTCGTTGACTGCTCGCTGGCGGTCTTGGCGGTCTCCGGCCCTACTCACTGGTTGCCGGCCGCTTGCCGCTTTTTCATCGCTGCCTGGGCCACCGTCGCTCGGGAGCTGACACTTTGTCATCACTGTGGCGTGGAACACTGACTTGATGCAACGGCGATGCAACACCGCCAACCAACGGCCAAATCACAACAGGCCCTGGTTGCTGAGCCCTCAGCTCGCATGTTTTTCATCATTCCTCGCGATACACCATAGGACGCCCTGAGCGCAAGAACGGCAAATTAGTTTCTTGTCCAAAAATATCAAACGTCAACATCGGTTTGCCGAGGCTCCCACCCTTCAGCCTCTGGCCCTGCAGCATCCCCATCCCAGAATGACCTGGGGAGTCGGAAAGGGATTTGATGCTGCAACCTTTCACTAAAATCACCCGCTCAGGTGAAAACTCCGGATTTGACTGAAGCTTGTTGTAAGCTTCCAGGGTTTTCCTGAACACGAAGACAACCGAACCACTGGATCTGCTGGATGCGTGCGGCCTCACTATCTCATCGTTCGCATTGGGAGCCTGGCACTGCATGGCACTGACCACACTGCACACTGCAGAGCACAGCGATGCTCAGCGCGCGCCTTGATGCTCCGCTCCTCACCACGCCTTATAAAAGACTTAAGGCAGCGTGGTACCACTCGGCACTTCATGGCACTTCTGCATTTGAATGAGCCCCTGGCTTCTGGCCAGTCACCACGGCACTCTCTTGCCTGATGTCATCAACGTGAGAGCTTTCAACAAGCCTTTGACGGGAGACGATAGCATCACAGCAACAGGTCACATTGTCTCTTTTGCTGGACGGACACGCGGTGGAAATTTGCGACCTGGCGACTACAGCCATCACGAGTTTCCTGCAACCTACAACCACAAAGCTCACTCTCATCCGCGTAGAAATGCTCCTCAGCATTGCCACATTGAGGCTAACGATTCCAAGCAACCTACCTACGACTCAAACCGGACAAGCTGGACTCTGAGCCAGCACCCCCTAAAAAACGTGGCAGCAAAGATTCCAAGAGTTGGCGCTTGTCTTCACCTGCTGGTCCCTTCGGCGCTTTCATTCCAGGGCGGTGGTTGACTTCCACGAGCCACACATGGAAATTCGTTCCCAACGCAAAATCGAAACCGAAGCGCCGCCACGGTTGGCGCACCGGTGGTGTAGAGTTGAAATCGTCGCGGGTACTACATCCGGGTCCGGTCGTCAATGGGAGAAGGCAGCTTAGTGCCCTCGAAATGGCAGTCCGAATTTGGGACACTATTTCCTCCGCCCAAACATCACGACCTGCACACTCTTGTAGATACTGCCTGAAGGTGTCCGTTGACCACATGCGCTTTCGAACTCCAATGCCCTTTCCCTTACATGGCAGGTTGGAAACATGGGCTTCTTGTACTCCGGCACCATACTCCTCTGCAAAGGGCATCGCACAAAGATCAATGTAGCCCTGGTCATAAACCCACACCGAAGGATCTTCGACCCAACGCACCAGAACAAGCATGCGCAGGTTATACTTGTAAAACTCATCCACGCAGGCTCCTGCGGTATGTCGGCCCCGCCTGTTGTCAATGTCAATCAAGCTCGGCATGTGGACCAAATGTGGCTTTTCAATGTACTTCTGCAGGACGTATCCATCGCTCATGCGCCCCGAGAAAGGCATGGTCGAAATTTGCAAATCCTCCGCGCACGACAGTCCCCCAAAAAGAATGATGCCCTTGCCCATCGCACCATCGACAGGCTTTGCTAGCCACCAGTTGTTTTGGAGTAAATCAAGCTGCAAATGGGGCAGCTCCTGCTCAACCCGCCGCACAAGCATTTCTGCCTTGCGCATGGGACTTAGATGTAAGCCTTCCCAGAACTCGTTGTCCTCGATATGGGCTTCCAAGTGTTTCTTGCAAATGTCCAAGGTACTCTCCAGTCCATCATCTTCACTCGGCCTGCTCTGTTACGTTCGCTACGACTGATTCGCTTGGTGCGTGTGTAGTCAGCTTGTACAATGCACGCGTAATCAAAGAAAGCCGGCTTCTCGATTCGATAAAGTCGCTTTGGCGTCGATGCCGCCTGTGCTTCCAGAAAATTTCGCAAGCGCCCGAGGCATTGCGATAGCTCAAAGTCGCGCCTCGAGTTGCAAATCTAGGCACCGGAACACTGGACCACCTGAAACCTCTTTGTGCGGGCGAGCGACTTGAAAATCTTCCACTCTGAAGCGGCATCTGCAGGATCTCTTGTCAAGATGTAGCTTCGAGGAACCAAGCTCCAAACAGAAGGGTCTCTTCGCATCAACAGCGCAAGAAGATGCTTGCCTTGCAGACGCATATCTAGGACTATGCCTCCCTCCGAGCTGCTCCGTGAGGGTCTGTGCAGCAAAGCGGCGATGAATGTCCTGCACACTTCCGGGTGGAGCACCGCGTCGGAATAGGTTGAGCTGATGATCCAGTCGGCCTTCTGCAGCGGCACCTTCTGGAGCTAGGGCCATTTTGGCACTCATCGCGGCAGCAGCCGAAGCCTCACGGGACAAATTTACTTTGCATGTTGGCCAACGCATCTATCATCTTGGCTGCTCTTGACTTCCTGCTGAGCTTGACATTGGTTCTTTTACCCCAGTAATGCTCCAGCTGTGAGTTATACAGTGTAGCGAAGACGGCTAACATCTATACAGATGTATACCAACCCCCTCGCAACCAGCAGCTTCAAGCGCCGGTTGCTTCGCAGGCGCATCTGGATCAACATGGGCTCCCTCTTTGAGCCAAGCAAGCTGCGCTGGCCTAGCGGATCTTCACTGAAGCAGATTGAACGCTGGCATGGGTTCTTCGACTGAGATCTGGACGCAAGCACCTTCGACAGTCAAGAACCGCACACATGCAAAAAGGCGAGCCAACTGATGGAAGAGTTGGCGCGCAACAGGTGCCTGTGAAGTAGCAACGACAAGTCCAAGCAGAAGGCTGAAAGCAGCCTCGATCGGAATTCACAGCCCCGTGGCAAACAACACTTCCGACTTTTGCTGATGCCGTGGCCTGCAGGCATCTCGTCCACGCTGAAGTGAAGGATCTCCCCTGGGCAGCAGGAAGGCAGCTGCACCAAATTGAGAAGAAAAAAGAGTTCAGCCCTGCCCACCTGATCTGCGTCTTGCAATTGCCGCAAACCGCTCCTGGTTGACATCAACCAGCTACATTGCATGTCCACATAGCTCATACCAATATGAGCCCTTCAGCGAGAGAGATCAGGCAACGGCCCATCATCCAACCAAAGCCACGCACATGGCAACTCTACTAATCAACTAATCTTGGTGCAGCACCTCGAACAGCATGCGCGATTCTGCGAGCCTGTTCGACCCAGAATGGATTCTGGCACCACTTGCATCACCGGGCCCGAACTTGGACAAGCAATCCAAACCTGCCAAGTTCCACGCAGCCGGATCGGGGGCACTGTTCAGGGTATCAGATCACGGGGTCCCCCAACCCTCAACATCCCTGAAACCTAAAACCTACAAACCCTAAGCCCTCTGATCTGCTGCGGCACAAACGCAGAACTAACCCAGCTGTGCAACGCAACCGCAAAGTGCACAAAATGGTCCTCGGCAGTAAGAGACAGGTGCTCTAGTGACTCTAGTGTGCAATCATTGTGTGTGTGCGATGTCTGTTGCGATTCACGACACTATGCAGGAACACGGGTTCCCACAATTTCTGTAGAGCATCTTCTAAGAAGCCTTATAATTGTCATTATGGAATTCCGCTCTTCGTAAAATCCGTTGTCAATTCGGCTTTCCGTTCTGTTCCGTTCTGTTCCGCGTTTCGTGGCTGCCGTTCCGTTCCGCAGACCCATGCCATTCCGTTCCACAATCCGATTAGTTCCACATTCCGGTTCTGCTCCACTTTACGTTCGATTCGTTTCGTTCGGTTGCAAGTCGTGTTCCGTTCCGTTGCGAGTTCAATTCCTTTCTGTCATTCCGCGTTCCTTCCCATTCCGTTCCGCATTCCGTTCCGTTCCGTCTCGTGGCGTCTTGTTCCGTTCTGTTCTGTTGCGCTCCCCGGTGTTCCGTTGAGTTTCGTCGCCTTCTGTCTCGTTCCGCTGGTTCCCTTCCGTGCCGTCTCGTTCCGTCACGCTTTGTTTCGTTCCGTTTTTTGCGTCTTGCTCCGTCTTGTTCAGGTATCGCTGCGGGATCCTCTGTTCCGCTAATCCTTCTAGACATGCAAACCCAACCGTGTGAATTACACGACACCGTTTCACGCATTCTCCGAGCCTATACCTGCAGCTACCTTTGCCTGACATACAAAGCCTCAGCATGACGAAGTGCAAACATGCCCACGTGCACTTCGAGGCAAAGTGAACGCCCAATCGACGCAGCACATGGCCACTGCAATGCAGGCCTCGGACGTATTCGTTTACAACACGCAATTCATGCGTACATCCCACAGGCACGCACCAACCAAGATGCCCGACTGCGCCCCATGCCTGCAGAAGACCTGCACACCAAATTTTCCAACTGCAGAGAGCAAGCGCCCTCCCGCCGGCCCTGCCTGGTGGCAATTAGATGGCCAGCCAGGCCAGACCCCTGCTTGTCCCGCTAGGTCAGCATAACGTTGCAAGAAGCAACTCTGCCACTCGTAAGGCAAATGCATACAACATGAAATGATGTCGCATGAGCATTGCCTGTACATGGAGATGCGGCATTTTTGGGAGATGCGGCATCTATCCCTGCATTACACCCAAGAACTTCGGAGGGGCACGACCTGTAAACATGTAACCAACTTTTTCACCCGTCTGCGCGAACGGAATTTCTCAAACATCTTGCTGCAACAAGCTGTACAGCAGCAGTCGAGAAACGAGGCTTCACAACAGCATCAAACCTTTGGTTTCTACAAACAGCCTCGAGGGCTCGTTTAAGCGTGTTCTAATTCGTGCATTTCCAGCACAGATGGTGGATTGCATACCCGATCCAACAATTTGGCGGCCAGTTGTTCGCAATCTAATAGTTTGGCACCGCTCATGCCAACAGCGCCCAGGACCTGGCCCACGAACGGGAAACCAAACACAGGTGTCAAAGACTGCATCACAATTTGTAATCCAACTTGCCTGGTCAATGTCTGCCTCTGACAAATCTTGATCTTGAGATATGAATTCCAAGATTCGGTCTTTGCTTATCTTGGCCTCAACACAACTCGGAACGTGCTTCCCTCTCAAGGCCCCGATCACAACTGAAATTATCCAAGAAGCTCGGTTGCTTGCAAGCCTGGAGTGGCAGCAGCCGCAGCATTAGCAGCGCATACGGAGCTGTTGCAAGTCCCACAACAGGCCTTCTCAAAGCCTGCTGCACTGCTGCCAAGCTGACATTGTCTCGGTCTTGGTTCTGCTCCAACAAATCCATTAACCTGAAATCGCATGGGCAGCGGTGCGTTTGACTTTGCATTGTTTGCCCTTTGCACTGCTGCTGCAACGCAAGCCGCTGACTGGATGTACCCGCGATGCACCAAAACCAAGCACAGAAACAGCCGCTCTGATAATTACAATTGACTTTACAGCATGTGTGCTGTCATTGCGTTACGAGGTGCATTCGCAAGTTCCATTTTGTTCTTTCGGCCATCGTGCCTTGCTTTGTGCCTCGAGTGACAGGAGTGCAAGATGAGCCCCTGTGGGCCCCGGGGTCAGCGAATGTCAGTCTCTGCACCAACGACCCAACCAAAGTGTTGCAATGCAGAGATGCTTGTCTTGAGCTGATTCAGCAGCATTGTGTCAAGCTCGTCGTCTGGTAAGCACCAGCCAGCACAACGCAAGAAATCACGTGCCTGGCAGCTGGTTGCGACATGTTGCGAGAATGTGCGCATCTCATGTTCCCTGACGGCAAAACAAAATACTCGAAGAATCGTTTTTCCCGACTCCGGCAACTGGTCTTCGACCTACCAGGACCTACCACTACAGCCAAAAAAACCCTACGGTGGGCCACCTACGGTGCCCGGCACGACTTCGTGCAGTTCCGGCGCTCCACCCGCGACGCAAACCTCACGAGCGCGTAGGCACGCATCGCGGCCACTGCGAGCATTCCGGACCTCCTTTGCACCCAACCTGCACGCAGCCGTTCGTAGCAGTGCCGCGACGCCGGCTGCACGGGTGCGGGGAGCCACATGCTGCTTCGGTGCTAAAGCGCCCACCGACCTCGATCCCGTGTAATTTCCCCCCTGCACCAACGGATCGGCTGCTTGGCTCAAGTCGCAGAGGTAGACGGGGCAGCTTCATGCAGCCCGTCTCCGTCACCTTGAACATGTTTCGGAATTCCGTCACAGCCGCTCCGCAGGAAGAATATTTTGTAATCCGCACGGCAGACCTCCTGGTCGCGGGGAGGATTGTTCTTTTTGTCACCCACCTTTTTGCGACCACTTCCCAAAACACAGCGGCGCGCGCTTTCCCCACAACGTCAGCCTCCGCCGCCCCCTGCTCCCCCCAGAACCAGCCCTGCCTCGCGGTGCCCGCGCCCGCCCGCCAAGCACCACAAGAAAACACACCGAGACGGCCAAAAATGGCACCGGGCTACAGTAACAAGAAGCGCGCTGCCCCCTTGCCTGACCTGGCAGGCTCGCATCTCACGCGTTCCTGGCTTGCGCTCGGCCGCTGCCTCCCTTCCTGAGAGGCTTGCGGCGAGCTCACCTGCACCGGCTGCAAGCCAGGGCCCTGCAGGGCCCTATAGGTCTTGCCGGCAACACTTTAACCGTCTCGACGAAGGTCCCTGTGCCGATGCACCCTACACTGCAGTGCCGGCGCAACTGGTGAAGTGGTCCCAACGCGCTTCGGCGCGAGGAGTTCGTGCAACTCGGGCTCTGGGCCTTCTCCGAGCTCGACAGCGGGGGGGAGCTCGAGGAGCGAGGCCGCAAAGGAGCGCTGAGTTGCGACTGCCAAACGCCCGGACCAGCCGCAACCCAGGTCTGAATGCGGCAGGAACGGCCGTCGCCTTATGTCGCGCGGGCAGGCACAGGAGCTGCACGGTCTCAGTGCCAAACCGGCCTTGGTTTTTGCAGCTAGCGCCAGTGTTTGCACGAGGGCTTTTTGCGCGCCACCACTGCCCAACGTGCGCAAATGGTTTTCAAGCTCAGTCGATCCTGCCGCGTGCCTCCCAGGCCATCTGCTGCCGGAGGCTGGCCAGCGCGTTGCTGCCGAAAGCTGGGTTCTCAAAATTTTCCGCACGGAGCTTTGCGTGAAAGTGCTGCTGCGCGGCTAGGTTGCCAGCACTCCCTTCCTGACCCGCCTGAGCCACGACATCGTCTCGGGTCGCACCGCGGAGCTCCTCACCCACGTGGCTGGACAAAAGTTAAGCGCAGCATCCCAATTAGTAATGTCTTCACCGAGCATGGCAACGACTGCAGACCCACCGTTCGATGCGTTGACCCACCCACAACATTGGCACGTTGCACGGCGTGCACGGGGGGAGGGGCGGGCCGGGGAGTTGAACGCGCTCCCATTCCAGCCCATGCAAAGCCACATGCGGTCCAACTTGCGGTGCCGCACCCCATGCATACGGTTGTCACACAGCTCGGCACGTGGTTGGTATAATCGCGCAATTCCGCGTATCCAGTGCTGTGCGGCGGGGTCCAGGGTCAAGGGCGACCCCGAGGTCTTGACGGCCAGCGGCAATGCTGGGCTCACGGGGCAGGTGGTGTATAGCGCCACGGCAGTTGGAGCACCTTCCATGTAAGCGGGTGGCCTGCACGACACAGCCGAGAGAGGTGAAGGCACCACAGCACGGGTTGGTGTTCTCGTGCGGGTCTGGGGACATGCCGCTGGGCAGGCGTGTCGAAACTTGGGGTGACGTCACCAGGCACATTTTTTGAAGGGGGCGACCACTTCACGTGAATGGGCATGATGTCTTGGAGGGTGTCTCCCCAGTCGGGCGGCGTTGCGGGACCTCTGCCGCTCCGTCAACTACCAACCCGATGCCGGTGCCGCGCCAGCATGCCGTCACCGACGTGGCCCAAGTTTTGTTTTTTAAGGCCCCCCCGTCACTGCCGTTCACTCAGCATTCCAAGTCACGCACCTACGCGCCGCTGCTCTGCTCCCCGCAGCTGGCACGGTTTCGCCCGAGAAGCGGGCCTCACGGACCGCCGATGCTTTAATTGGGGACTGGTGGCTGGTTAGAGCAGTGTTAGCGCGCCCGTTTTTCACGTGGGGAAATCCTCCGCCAATCGGGCCCCGTACACTGTGTGCCGGTCTTCTTGCAATCTGGCGTGCGAGAAACGTTTTTTTTTGGCACACCTCGCACGTCGCGCATGCTCAAGGGGAAGCATAGAGCAGCACAGCTACAAGCGTAAGGTTTATTTCACATCAGTCGGCGAGAATACCTATCGCCCAAGTGTGGACGTTGTTTCCTTCAATTACACGTCAGCGGCGACAATAACTCCCAGGCACACGCTGTTTTCAGTCTTGAAATCGCGCAGGCTGGATTTTCAGGTTTGCCACGGAAGCTGTGGTTTCAAGTTTTTTCATTGCAATTTTGATTGTATCCTCAAGTAGACGCTGATTTTGTTTTTTTCTCGCGCGCCTGTTTTCGAACAGTGACCGCGGTCCCAGTGCACCAACGCTGCGGCCTACGGGCTGACTCGGTTCAGGGCGCCGGCATGCGGCTTGCGACGTGCGGAGGGCCGCCTCGGACCTCAGGGAGGACTTCGTGGAGGTCGGGCGCCTCGCCCGCATCGCAAATGTCACCCCCAGGCGGCAGCTCCAGGAGGGACGCCGCAAAGGCGCGCATGGCGACGACAGCGAGG